ATGAGAGAAAAATGTTACTTACTATTCCACCCAAAGATTTGGGCCCTTGATGCGGAAGTAGGACTTGCCGTTCTCGTTAACCTCCTTTGTGGTGGGGCCGCTCCACGCAAAGTAAGTTTCGTTCAGACCAGCTTTGATCTCAGCCAAGCGGGGCGCGTAGTGGATTGGGTTGAGAAGGCCACCCCATTCAGACACGAGGTCGATAACCAATGCTTGCTGGGCTTCGGTGAAAAGGCTCACACTGACACCTTCTGTGATGTACTCTTCGCCATCGTGACCAGGTCCAAGAGTGAGGGTGCTTACATCTTGAGTGATGTTGGCTTGTGCGAAGAGGGTGGCGTCAAGAGATCCGACCAGAGAAAATGCGATGTCATTCTCGGCGGCCAACACACGTTTCGTGACGTTGTTGATGGCTGGCAAGCAGCCGGTCAACAGTGGAGCGATGACGGCCTTACTACCGTACATGGCCATGTTTATACCAAGATGATGTCCACCGAACTGAATCATCCAAAGAGACGTCAAACTAGGCTCTCCGAAAAAGCCTAGCGTGTAACTTCCCAACCCAGCTTCATAGTCCACGCCACGGTCCTCCTCGACTTGGTCGGCGTTCATGATCTCCTGAACCTTGTTGTAACCATCTTCACTAAACATGACGCGTAGGAGGTTCAGAACCGCTTCCTCTTGCGTGTCCGTGAAGTTGTCACGGGCCAAACCAACGCGATCCACGATGCCGACAGGGTAGTTGGTCCACACCGACTGACCGAACTGCTCACCGGCAATGGCGCCGGTAGTTGCGGATCCGAAGTAAACAGGGGTTGCGTTCCCTACTGCTTCGTAAGGGTACACTAATGATGCATTCTGCTCCGCGGTGAGAAGGCTTAAGAGAGTGTTGGCAGCGTCGACAATGGCCGTCGACTGAGTAGTAGCGTCGTCGACTTGCCTAGCTGCGTGCGACTTCGAGGGAAGCGATTGCACTACGGTGCACAAAGCAAAGAGAGAAAGTCCGAAAAGCATTGTAAGAGCCTTTGGTTGATTTGACGGATTCAAAAAAGTAGACAAGAATGAACAGTGAAGACAAGTAGAAGATGCAAGCGGGAAGGAAAGACTAAGCTGTAGCTGGCTGTTCTGAAGTTAGAACATGCATCGCCTTCCTTTTATAATGAAAATGTTGTTGCCCTGGAGTTCTCTCATGGTAAGGAAAAACTGTTTATAGACAGCCAAGAAACCTTCCTGTCGGTATTACGCAGCCATCGGCGTATGCAGACAAGGCTTTGTAAATTAGAAGAGTCAAAGGAGGGCTCGATTTACTTGGCGTCGACATATCTAGGTTGATGTATTCTGGCTGAGTGGGAGAAATAGATCTCAACATACGTACGGAGTGGTGAAAAAAGTTGTAATTGATCAACAGTGCATGATGAGGTGAAGTCCCTATATGAACAATATTAATTTAACCCCTTTGGGGAAAATCCCCTTCATGATTCGTATCACTTTTACATGGGGATGTGGAATTAAGCTTTTTCTCAATATAATTCACACAGTAAAGGTACACGCAGTAAGTACAGATGAATGCGCATGTATTGTTGCATTCGGGATCGGACATTATGGCTCGGACATTATAGATCGGACATTATGGCTTGAGATGCCAAAGCCTGTACATAACCATAACCCGCCATGTTCTCCTTTCCCTCTATACTCTTCCTCGAGCCTTTCCTCTGGCTGTGGGGATCTACCGTATTTGAGCGATGCCGGGTACATAAGAGGCCTACGTAACCTGCGAAGATTCTCCAACGTAACAACCCCACGATGCAGGAACGTCCCCGCCTTGAAAATACACATACGTGATTGTTCGGTTACGGAGATCGCCTTTTGTGCTATGTGGAAGTAGTAAGAGCTTTGATCTCGGGGTGGTTTAGATGAAACTTCAAGTAGGTGGTTGGTAAGGTAGTATAATATCAATAGGTTTGCTTCTCTCGCAACCATACCATAAAAGTGATGATTGATCTTACAAACAAAGTTCTACATTATAGTGGAATCCCGATCCCTTATATGAACCTTCATACTCTACAAATCGACAAGTCGACTATACACAAGTCGATTACCGCAAAGCCGACTTCGATAGCTCAGCTTCTTGATCACGTGGCACTAACCACGTGAGCTCACATTACCCGTTGTAATGTGCTCACCAATTGACGAGGGCCAGGGCATGCTCAGGTGACTATCTAGACAATTCGATGAATAAGTAAACATTCTCTGTTCAATTTATTCAATTTTCATCTATATTCATCGAATCAGGCATTACAGACTATAATGCACTTTGCTCTGCAGCTATTTTCAATGTAGAACTTGCTCAGACAGGAAACCTCTAAAGATCTGGATTGTATTTCCAGTATACAATCCAATATTAACCTCTCTTAGACTAATTTTAAAGCTCCATATATTCATTACTCATAACCCATCGTCATCATCATCATTCATAACTCATAAATCCACCCCTGAATCCACATCCCTCCCTCACAGAACTAACCACCCAACCAGCATTCCCAAACCTAGCACTCCTCCTCCCGATCCCCTAACCCTAACTCTCCCTCCCATCCCCGGAACCTCTTTCTGAAGCACCTCCGTAGTCGTAGCCGTCGCCTGCACACTCACACTCTCACAACTAAGCGTTCCACAAGCCCACCCACTAGGACAACAATCACCTCCCAAACTCGCCGCGCAACTCGTCCAACCCGTTGCACACGCTCCTGTTGCCGAGGTAGTTGTTGCTGCCGATCCAACCGGAACCGCTACTGTGATTCCACTACTCACTATTGTCGTTGATGATGTCGCGGGACAGGATGTCGTATCACAATTTCTACCCGTTCTACAACATCCTCCTTGATAATGTGCTGAGCAGGCATAAAAGCCCGTGGGACACGTATCTTGAGTGATCGCTGAAGAGGTAGTTGTAGTAGTAGTTGAGGAGTCACCTGTGGGACGAACTGGAACGACTCCCGAAGCAGATGTAGTTGTACTAATCGGAGTCGAGCTTTGAGAAACGGTGCTCGACACGCTTGAAGATCTTGTACTAGTAATCGTAGTGATTTGAATCGTAGTCGTTGGAGTCGACGAAATAACAGTAAAAGTATTGGTTGTAGTGACAACCACCACAAGTGATGGATTGATCACACATCCAATTGAAGCACACACAAAATTTGGGATGCAACAACCCCCTCCTACATCAGCCGCGCAAGGTGTATTTGGCGAAGCGCAATTCGTAATGGTACCTCCGCAATTCCCTCCACTAGGACAACATCCTACAGGTCCCAATCCAGTATCTGTGATTTGAAAACATGTTTCATCAGTTGCGCAACAACTGTTTGGATATCCGATTGATGAACAATTCGATGTTCCCGTAGGACACTTAAAATCCCTTTTCTCCAGCATAGCCAACGCGACAGCCGAATCCTTTTTACGAGCTCGAATTTCTTCATCATCCAAAAGTCCTGAATGATCTTCCGTATGCAATGCAAATGGCGCTCTGAAAGAGATAAGCACCGACGAATTCGCAAGTGATCTAGCCTCCTCCTTCCAATCTCTTTCCCTCGGAAACTTATCCCTCCCATCGAAACTCATGTGCGCATCCTCATCTCCAAATCTCCAATATTCCATGTAGAATTTTTCTCCTTCATCCTCACTCATTTTCAGTATCCCAACCGGACTTTTCGTAACCACTACATCACTCCCCTCCCACCCTTCATCTCTTTTCCCACTCGTAGATGCATAAATCCAATCCTTAACACGTATCCAATCGCGAGGCCATAGAGCCAATAATCGATGATTATCAATATCAATCGCCTGAACCGAATTTGTCTGCGAAGCCAACAATATCAAAATCGAAGTCGGAAGACCTAAAACATTCACCGAGAGACGCATTTCGAAAATGGCTTATCCAGCCAGCTCCGATGTAAAAATTGATAGCAGAGTGGAGACTACCTAATCGATATCAATACTAGGATCAGCTTTCGAGAGCTTGAGAGCTCTATCGGGTAGATCAGGTAATGCAGTGATGCATACAAATTCGCAACAAATGGAAAAGAAGCTTCTTTTAAGGATTATGCAAGTAATAAGGTATTAGTAGAGATCGGAAAGAAAGAAAACTTTCTTAAAAGCGCGCGAGAAACGAGGCTGGGAACCAAGAGTCAAAACGGGATTGATTCACCAAAAGGACGGTACCAAGTAAAAGAATAAAAATCTCCGGTGGCTGGGATGCGAACTTATGGATAAGATGGAGTAGCAAACACAAACACACGACATGTGAAACTTTATGTAAACCCTAGGTACAAAAAGCAATCCAGTGCACTAGCTTCCCAATCTCTCCTCTCGACTCTCTCATCTCTAATCTCTAAAGAAGTACACAATATACACAAAAACTTCCCTCGCATAAGCAAAAACTCTAAACTCCAAACCTAAACCTAAACCCCAAACCCAAACCATAAGTCATAAACCCCATCCCCCTCAAATAGCGAAAGATCATCACTAGGTCGTACCCTTATCCTAAAACATACATACCACACCTACCTACCCACCAACCTGTCTATCTATTCTCATCCCCGCTCCCTCCCGGTGAGCTGCGCCAAGCTACGCCCTGCATACTTGACACTTATGACACAAATGACAGGAATAACCTAAACCCCTCATTTCATCACCTAGTAATCAACAAAAAATAACATAATTTTCTATAATTGTATTCAAATCCATATTCACATACATACCCACCTAGTATTCACAATTGCCTATCAACACCAAGACATTTTATCGAGCGAATATCGAGTCAACTCAAATCGAACATCTTCCCTCCCGGTTACCCCAACCCCTAGAGACACAATAACGCCACACCAATCTATTTACATAGTCATCCAACCATCATCCATCCATCCATCTGAATCCATTCCATCTCATCTCATCTCACCCCCCTCCTCCACCTCCCATATCTCTCATAAATCTCACACAAAAAAACCATGCCCCGCACCGACGAAGCAACCTCCTTCTACCACTCCGTCTACAGCGCCATCCAAGAGATTCCACATGGAAAAGTGACGACATACGGACATATCGCGCGGCTAATCGGGACACGTGAGTTCTCCCCCTTTCTTTCTCCATTCCCACCATCCTCTTCTCCCTTTCGCCCTCCCTTATCCTCTTCCCCCAAACCCAGACAGACAAACAGACCAACACCCACCCACCCAAACAAACAAACAAACAAATAACTAACCCCCCTCTCCTCATCCAGCAAACCGCCCCCGCCAAGTAGGAATCTGTCTTAAGCATCTTCCCAATTCCCCCTCCACATCCTCTCCCACCCCCACCCCCACCCACCTCTTCCACAACGGCAACGTACCCTGGCAACGAGTGATTAATGCAAAAGGGGGGATAAGTCCACGGTACGTATTTTTCTTGCTTTCCCTCTCTCTCTTCCTCATCCTTATCCCCTTTCATCATCCCTAACCTCCAATCCCCGTCCCCCTTTATCATCCCCCTTCCAAACCTCCAACTTCCAACCTCCAGTCCTGTCCTGACCCCATCCCTCTACCTCCCCCATCCAACTTCATCTCCCAACCCCTCCATCCCATCCACCCCCCCTTAAACACACATCCACACATCCACACATCCAAATATCCCCCCCCAAAAATCCCCCTCTAACCCCCCTCCCCAAAACCAGAAGCCACCCCTCCGGCGCCCAAAACCAAGCCGCCATACTACGAAGTGAAGGTATCGAAGTAACGATTGGTTCGCGTATGTATTTATTCCCCTTCTCCCTTCTCCCTTCTCCCTTCTCCCTTCTCCCTTCTCCCAATCAACCAATCAATCAACCAATCAATCAACCAATCATCCACTAACCCCCCCAAAATAGTAAACACTCTCCTCATTTCCCTACCCACCTACGGCTGGTTTCCGCGTCAGCTACCTAGTGAAGAAGCGGCCGGGTTAGATCCACCTATTAATTCGGATTCGGATTCGGATTCTGAAGGTGGCGGTGGAGGTGATGGTGCGGAAGAATGATTTGAAAGAATGATTTGAAAGAATGATTTGAATGCTAATAATTGTGTTGTTTGTTTATTTGTTAATCCGTTCTATGTATATATCATTATTTAGCAAATCTAGTCAAGGGAGGGCAAAATAAAAAAAGTGCATGCCATGGATGGGTGTGTTTTGTCTGGGAGTCACTGAAATTATGATTCGAATCGAAAACATTATTAAACTCAGCACATCGCCTCACATCGCCTCAAATCAAATCATGTCATATCAAAAACTAAAAATGGTGATGGAATGGTGTTTATGCATATAAATCCAAGGCTATGTAAGACACATAACCATGATGATAGTAGAAAAGTATAATCCACTACCCCATCAGCAAAAAATTCTTTATAATTCATTCATTCCTTCCATCATATCTCCATGTATACATTTTCATCAAGCCATCTCTCATAAGATGGAATCCTGCATCGCATCTGCTATTCTGGCCAGCTCACCAAATGCTTAATGAATGATTATTTCATTGAAGATAAAAACATTCCACGCAGATGGTTCCCTTCCTTCCACCCCACTGTACAGTTGGATTGTGAGTTGTCCAATAAACTTAATAGCAGTCGAATCCATCAATTTGGCCAAATCTTCTGATACAATCATCAGATATACATCTCAAAGGCAGTATATAATTTTCCGTACTACACAGCTAAGCAAAAAATAAATTTGTACCAATGAACCACCATTGATTTGAGATCAAACCGGTGGGATGGATCCAATTGCTTTGATCTCGGGATTATTGATGCCAATGATCCAAATAAGGTCTAATGAACTATACTGATGCAATCACTATAAAGATGCGACAAATAAAGATCATAGACTTGATGCTGTTCTCCTCCATATTGTCAAAATGCATGATGCTAAAGCATCGACGTGATGAATATATTTTCCAAAGTCAGAGCATTTTCGCTCATTTACTCTCATCAGCTCCAGGATTAGTTTGAGCTTGAGGGCCAGTAGGGACTTGGTTGTTGGGTGGGCCATGTGGGTGTTGGTTGTGTCGGAAATTTTGTTTGCTGCCATTGAAATCTGGGTTGTACTGATTTCTTGGACCCCCTTGAATATTCTGAGGGCTTGTAGCATATTGGTTAGGCGCTCCATAAGCACCACCTCGCATTGGCACTATTGATATGTTAGAATCCATTACAAAATTTCTTGAGCTTCTAAACTTACTTTGATTTGGGATTGGTTGAGGGAAAACGGGTGTTCCGTATTGAGGGACTGGGCTCATACCATACATAGGTTGTGGGTGACCTTGTTGAGACCCTTGATTCATCATCATAGGAGCACCTCGGCCGGGACTTGGATAACCGCCATTTGGCATAGCTGGAGGGTGACCATTATTTGGTGGCATGAATTGACCTTGTGCGGGTGGATACATCATTTGTGGACCAGGTCCCATTGTTTGTGGAGGAATGAATCCACCTGCAGGGTTAGCCATCATAATTGGTTGACCCATATGACCTTGTTGTGGCATAAATTGATGGGTTTGAGAAAGGGATCTGAAAGGTGGCATCTGAGGTGCACCAGGGTAAGAGACCATCTGTGGGTTGTAAGCCAATTGAGCATTTCCACCCATTGGAGAATGGAAGGCTGCCATTGGAAGCTGTTGCATTCTTGGTGATGAAAAGGATTGTGCAGAATGCGATGGCATCATACGCAATTCATCAGCGTTGAATGTTGGGGCAGGATGACCCATCTGAGCTCCATGCATGTTGATAGGTGGTTGACGTGGGGATTGTCTAGCATTGATGTTGTGAACGCCAGATTGAAGATGGAATGGCAATTGATGTTGGTGTGGCACTTGTGGAGCTGCTTGTGGTGGGTGAGGCTCCGATACAACGGGTGTGGTAGTGGGGAATGGTGCCTTTTCAAAGACTTGTATATAAGACTCCGTTGGTGCATCACTAGCAGTGAGTTTCCATAACAAATGAGTATCGTAAGCTGGCTTCAAACCACCATTTGCTAGCCAATTCTTCCCCTCTCCTGGCTTAAGACTCTTGATGAGCTCCATTGCATCATATTTGCCTTTGAGCGAAGGACGAGCGCCCTTAGCCATTGGCTTACGGCGAATCAAGGAACGTGCTACCGGTGTTGCTGGAGCCTCTGGCGCATTGGGTACTGGACGAGGACTTGAGCCACTGCTTGGACCAGCGGGACTAAAGTCTTTTGCGAATGCATTGGGGCGAAATTCGCTGACGCTAGCATTCAATCTCGGGCCACCTTGCGCACTTGCCACGCCACTTGAACGACGAGAGAAATTTGGATCAGCAGTGTTCGAAGGACCAGTAGGAGGAAGTCTGGCTTCATGAGCTGGCATGACATTGGATGGGACTTGAGCTGGTCTATTTTGTTCGATGTTTCTTAATCGCTGGGCCAAGTGTCCAGCGGTGCCACTTCGGGCATGGTCTGCTGTGCTTGAACAGGTCTGTCACCTCGAGAATTTTGTGTGAAGCTGTGAGTACCTTGAGGATAAGGTCCACGATTAACGTTTTGGCGACCAGATGTAACGGGCGGTGGCGATATAGTATGAGTAGAGCTTGTAGTAGCGGAACGTTGCGCAGAAACTCCGTCTGCACCTGGTGTGATTGGCTTTACCGAATCAGTAGGATTGAGCTTTGCTTCTTCAGCATTGCGTTGTGCTTTCTCTTGGATCGCCTTTTGCTTTGCCGGATCCTTGGCAATGATAGGGACAAGATCTGATGGAACTGGAGTATGCAACTTGAAATCATTGGCAAATCTTTTGAGGTCATTTAATTTGATTTGCTTATCATTCTTGATCTTGTTGGCGCGAATTTGTGAAACATTGTTTCTTTGAGTTGCAGCAAAGGTCTTGAAAGCCTTGGAAACATCAGCCTCAACAGTTGCAGTAGCATTTGGCCCACCCATATGTTTGACTGGTGGAGGAATTGTGCGGCTTGCAGAAGGAGCCACAGTCTTTTTGAGCTCTGGAGTGGGAGTGGTACTTGAATCAGTAGTAGTAGGTGGAGTTGCGACCTCTGGCTTTGTTGACTTCGCGGCTGTAGCTGGTTTTGCCTTCTCGGCGGGTTTATCTGCGGGTTTATCGGCCTTGGCTCCTGCAAACATGATGGCTGAGTCGACAAGAGTACGATCGGCCGGAGCAGTAACTGGAGCAGTAACTGGAGCAGCAACTGGAGCAGCAACTGGAGCAGCAACTGGAGTAACGACCGGAGCAGCAGCTGGAGCAACAACCGGAGCAACAACCGGAGCAGCTGCGGGTGCGCGGTCAACTGGAGCACGCTTTCCTGGTGGTTGATATGCACCCTTCGATGCGGTGAGGGGTGGGAAATCCTGTTGTCTGCGAACGCCACTGTATCTGCCAATGTGTTAGCAATCATATGCGAGGGGTAAAATCTAAGAAACTCACTTGTCTTCTTCATCAAGTCCATTCTCATTTGGTCCGGTGTGGTCCGCAATACGTTCTTCTGCAACGTGAGAGTTCATTGCCGTGCTGCGTTCAATTTCTCTTGCCTTTCTATCTGCCTCGGCGACTCTCTGCGAATATTGCGGATGACTTGTGTTGATCTGGGTTGTGTAGATATTCTCATCGTAGTCTGTCTTCAAACCAAATCGTCGCTCATTCTCTGCGAATTGATCCCACGGAGCCACTCTCCCTCCTCGACCCGATTCCAAGCCACCATCATTATCGGCGGGCTTGTCAGGAACCCATCTTTGTAACACACGCTCTCCTTGGTTTCGGTTGCCCGAAATCGCAGTGTCTGTACGGAAAAAGCTCGAGTTACCTGAGAAGGTTAGCATTTGTGATGTCATTGGCACCATGTAGGAGGACCAACCATTTTGCGATCTGCCATCAACCTTTCCATTACCGTTTCCTCGAGCATCTCCCATATCTTTTCTTTGCGACGTCATGTTTCCTGATTGCTCTCTATACTTTGTGCCGCCGTTGGGAAGGTCGTTGCCCTTTTTTCCTTGTTGTACCATGTTCAACAACTGATGATTAGATGTATATCAATTCTCTTGAATGTTGTCGTGGTATGTGTATGATCTGTTCGAAGAGATATCTGGAGAGGAAATAAATTAGTAACCCAATCCATGTGAATCAGATTGGAAGGTGAATGTTGGATGTCGGTAGGTAGGTAGGTAGGTAGGTAGGTAAGGTGAGTGTGATTCGGCTTTTGGTTACACAACGCACAATAAAATGCGCAGAGCACTTCATCCACCATGCATGCAATCGATGACTGAATGAATGATAGAAAAGCATAGCTGGGGAAGAGAGATGGAGGGGAAATAGGGCGATACATACCACACAAATGGAAATCTCCAAAACACACCCTTCCTTTGATCTTCTCGAATCGCGCCCAATATGTGCGTGGTGTCAAGGCTGGAGGATTCGCGAATAATCTGGGGTTCAATAAGGAACTGGTCCCAAGTCGAAGATAAAATTCTAATGGAAAAGGAATGTGGTTAGCATACATGCAATGTCATGCACAATTGCCGTAACTAAAGAAGTGAAATTGTGATGTGGTTGTTTGAGTTGATTGCGAAAGCTCCAAGCTTAATCAATCGTGTCAAAAAGAAAGGCTGGGGTTGTTGTAAAAGTGTATAATAATAATAATAACTTTAAGTGTGTGCGTGTATGTATGTGTAGAATTTAAAGAACCATCTTGTCTCACCTCGGATCGTAAGAAGAATTATGAGAAGAGAAGAGAAGAAGACAAAATAAAATAAACCAAATCAAAATTAAATTAAAAAAAACCTCCACTGCTCTCCCTTTCTTGATGAGTGAAGATGGTTACAGTATATCGTAACAGATCAAACAATCATTGAAAGTTATGAGAGTTGGGAGGGGGAATTTGTGGTGGTGGTGGTGGTGGTGGTTATTTTGGATCCTTCAGAAGAGGGGAAATGTTAATCAGAATTTCTGAAGGGGTGGTTCGGGTGGAGGAGGGAGTGTAAGTAGTTAGTTTTGGTTAGGTAAAGTTAGGTGATTAAATGATGTACTCAAGCGAATGGGGTATGTTGGCTTGGTTTTATCAAGAGATGGGTAAGTGGTTAGGTGGGTGGGTAGGTAGGTAGGTAGGTAGGTAGGTAGTGTGGATGTAGATGTAGATGTAGATGTAGATGTAGATGTAGATGCAACTGTAACTGTAGCTGTAGATGTAGATGTAGATGTAGCTGTAGCTGTAGCTGTAGCTGTAGCTGTAGAGAGATGTGGATTCCTCTCTCTTGGGAGACTACAGTCCTAAGTATCTAGAGTACCTGAGATAGGTGGGTAGGTAAGTCGAGTAGGTAGGTAGAGTAAGGACGTGAAGAGAAAGTAATGTGATAGAGAGAGAGAGTACTGTAGATAGATAGAGTGTGATAAATCTCCTTCCTCGTTCTCTCACAAAGTCTCTCTCAGTAGAAACGAATTCTTTAAATAAATAAAAAAGTAAACAAGTACCTAGTAGGTAGATAGATTAATAAAAAGACAACAAGTAGAATGAAGTTCTAAATAGACTAAGAATCAGTCTAGAATACGTCGAATACGCAGTAAGTCTCTAGTTCTACGATAGGAGAAGAATGAAGTGGGAATCCAGAATTAGGTAAGATGTCTATCTCAAATAAATAAACGGAAGAGTAAAGAGAGAAAGAAGGAATGTTCGGTTTCTTTCCTCCTGTCTGTTGAAGGAAGGGAGCTTTGTTTGAGTGTCGGTAGATATATTTGGTTGTACGGTGGATGGTATCGATGGATGGGTGGATGGATGGGTGGATAGATATCGATAACGGGGGGTGACGTTTCTTGATATATCGAATCTTTGTTAACAGCAATGGTAATCATGCGAACTTTTCTTATGCGTAAAGTATTTCCTTATTCAAGAGACTACCGGGTATGGCGAGAAGGAGCAGAAGTAGGAAGGCAAAGGTAAAGTGCCCAGGAAGAGAAGTCGAAAAGAAAAAGAAGTCAAAGTTTCCACCTCGAGGATGAAGTGTGCAAAGGGTGATGAGAGAAGATTGTGATGTCCATCCCGCCCCAAATCGAGCACCGTATTAAAAGCTCAACACAATACACATATCCAGTCTTTGCCTTCCCTCGAGGCAGAATCCAAGGTTATTTACTAGCTGCTTGCTAACTTGTCAATCCAAGATCGATTTTCTCGACTCCACGATTCTCTCTGGTACTATTATCACGCTACAAGGAACTTCGCTGTACCACGACCCCAAATCAATTTAACATTTGACAGTCAAGCCTTCTTCCCTTTCCATGTTATTAATATCTCGGGGATCCGGTAGCTATCATATCCTAGTGTCGATAGACGGGAGCATTAATCCGAATGGGGGTTTGAAGGCATGTAAATCGTGTGTGTGTGTGTGTGTGTGTGTGCCTTGTAGATATTATCATCATCACAACCACCACATGAATGAAACGTTTAGTCACATCAGAACTGGGGAAATCAGATTGAGATACAGTATAGGGGCTTGGTTTTATTTTTATCCTTCGCATGGAAAGGAAAAGAGAAATAATGCATGATGGAGTAGCACCTAGATAGTGAAGACCAAACAGAGAGAGAGAGAGAGAGAGGCTTCTCAGATAGGCTGAGGATGGTACATGTAAAGATGCGATTTCAATATTTCAATTCAACAAGGGGGATAGAAAGGTCCATTTGGGTCTCTCGGGTCACATATACGAACATCCTTTGACCTGGGTATAAGATGTGCGTGCTGTAACAATTGCACAATAATCTTTCTTGGTGCGCAGGCTCACCTGCATAGGTATGAGTTGATGAGCACGATGGTAGCTGATGGATGAAGAATGATGGATGACAGACGACAGACGACAGACGACAGATGTTCTATATTTATCTCAAGAGAATTTAAATAGTAGGTAGTCAGACACGGATATATCGACATTCCTATGAGTGGTAAAGTGTCGAGTAGAATGGTCTAAAATGTATCGCTGCAACACCGACAATCCATTACATTGATTTGGTAAATCCAACGCAAACTATAGATGATAGCTTGGTTAATAGATGATAGCCTGGTTACCTAGGCAATCAATGGTGGGATTCTCATTCTTCTCGAAAGGAAAGGAAAGGAAAGATTCAAAAGCGCTTCCTACCTACAGGATGAACATGGGCTGATCTTACCTAGGCAAGGCGATCCAAATCTTAAGATGCTTTTCCATCCTCTTCTTCAAGGTCCCGAGCGCTTTCATAAGGTACATTTCCATGTCTGGTAACACAGGCCTGAGCTTCGAATCCCTACATGGATTGGACACTTGCATGGAAGATTCAAGTGCGTCCGGACTTTTCCTTGCATCTTACATCCTCTCATGTTCCATGCCGTCGAACGGACTTTGGATAGTTTGGTACTCGGCCACGTTACAAATATTATGGATGACGTCGCATAGGTAGCTACCGAGTATGGCAAGAAAGGAATAACTTGACTTGCACGATTATCGAGAGGTTGGTACAGAGTCAAGTATCTCAAAGACCGAGAAAGCTTTTATTTTCATCCAACTCATTAATTCCTCACGATCAACGAATCCTATGCAAAAATTGTTGGGGAATAATGCTGATGTTTGTCTGCTGTGCCTTTCCTTTCTCTCGGATATCTTCATCTGCACGGGTTCGAGTTCACAACCAATCAGAGGGAAAAGGCTTGCATGTCCCCATGGCCTCGGGATGCGGCCTGGACGGGATTGAATCTGTTGAATAATTGTCACTGCCGCGCGGTTTGAAAACACCCGAGTTGTAGCTCGAGCGCAGTGCCATCTGATACCTGATACCCGATACCTGATACCTAATACCTGATACCTAATACCTGATACCTAATACCTGATACCTTGGTTGTGGGTATCGCTCTAGATTGTACTGGATTATTAGTATTATATAATAAGCAGTGTAGTCCCAGGTCTTGCTGAGCTTCAAACAGGAGACGTAAGTCTGGGATGCTCTCTCTTGATTGTTGATTTCGAGAAGGAAATTTGAAGTTGTCATAGTTGATGTAGGGTTCATAGAGCAAGAAAGCTTACTTCACACGGCCGATGGATATCTCAAATGTCAATCTGGCTCGAGGATAACTCAAAGTGTTGGTGTAGCTCTTCTGTCTTCGTCCACATTAATATCAAGTAATGTGATAGCGGTCCCCTTTAAGAGCTTGTTTCGCCTTGTTTGACTTCTAGAACCTGCTAGGTACATGTGTAAATCTGACTTGTGTTCTAACTCTCTTCTAGTGCTTCGTCTAGATCTGAAGTAGACCAAGGAGGCCTGCATTGATCAGGAAAAGAGTTTCTTCACGAGATTGCCTTCAACCATATCATCCTTCCAAGCTTGTTGTTAAAATAAAGAGGTTGGTCTGTTAATATAAAATGCTCTCGTACGGGAGCAGAATGAACCCAGAATTGGAACGGCAGGGATGGTCCTTGTCATTTCAATGTCTGAAAATGGAAATCCAAACGGGACTTATTTAAAATGATTAATTTGATGTCTGAATGCCCAAGTGTCTGGTCTGTGAAGGGAACGAAACGCAGCATCCAGTGCTTCTGAGCCGTTCTACATCCGAACCTTACCTAATCGATAAAAGTTAAGATCAACGCCCTCCCTATCTGGTCGTATTTTATTTTTACTTCATCACCTACATACACATCTGGGTGAGCTAATCTTCTTTGGACCTAGCACAACTGCACTCACGTTATTCATTCAAACTCTCCCTCAATCTACCCTTAAACATGTGATTCCACTGTAAATCTCGCTCCAAAAGCTCGGACCTACCCTCTTATAAACGTTCCCCAGTCAGAAAGGTTTCACCACCTGAGTAAACCTTTTCGCCTAAACTAGCGTGATCTGGCACACTTGCATGAGGCACTCACCTGCCGTGTAGATTGAATTGAATTGAATCCATTCGAATTGATACCCATCTACTTGACAACTTTTACCACAACCAAGAAGGATTCACATTAATTTGCTGCGAAATTCGGTCCCAGCCCTCTCATCACAGGAGCGCATCTGATTGCATCCACTGATTTGCCAAATAACTCTAGTTACTATAGGATACTTGTGTGCATGGCGCGCTGACTCTTTGCTGAATCCTCCTTTCGACTTCCCACAGGATATCAATAGATAGGTCGGTCGCAGAAATGCAAGCACCTCAACGACCCGGTCAAAGACGATCTCCAGCATCGGATTCCCCTGGTCCACCTCCGACAATATCCGCCAGGGCTATATCTCCAAGTTTGGGTCCCCAGCCAAGGAATTCAACTGCTTCAACCAAGTCTGTCCAAAGCAATCACTCGGGAAGAAGACAAAATGTAAGTCATTGGCTCCACTCGACATAATTGATTCGCCTTTGCGACAATGATCTCTTCCATGAGAAGGCCTGCTAATGTCTTTACTTTTGGATAGGGTGGTCAACCTCCGACAAGCAGCAGTAGTCAAAGTGGTCAAAACCCCCACCATTATCTCAGATCGAAAAGAGCGTAACACATCTTCTGGTCGCCACGAAGCAACTTCTCGAAACCCTCACACAATGGTCTCGACATCAAGCGACAGACGCACAGGTTTCGGATGTTTATGTGCGCTTGGGATATGAGTTCAACATTGCTTGTCGGGCATTTGCAGCAATAAATGTTGATACTTCGGATTTGGGGAATGTCCCAGAGTTGCTCCGACATATACTGGAATCAACACTCAGTCAAGAAGCAAGTGTCGAGAGCTTGGAGAAATACCTGCCTCGAATTAGAGATATAATCATTACTCTTCTTCATGGTTTAAAGCGGAAGCAACAAAAACTGCGGCAAAAACAAGGGAGAGATAGCGCGTCACAAAATGGAGAAACCATACCTAGAAATGGAAGCCTCAGTAGCATTGCGAGTAATAGTACTGGGTTGACTACATTACTGAATCAAGGGTTGGAAAATAATTTTCAAGGGGACTCAAGTGTGGCAAATGATAGGGGAAGCAAAGGACAATCTGCAGCCGACTCTAACGTACCTCCGAGGATGTCTTCAGCTACAGGATCATCAAGCAGAAGAGCTGCTGGGCCACCAAGAGACTCATCTCGAGGTTCAGTATCTTCAGATCAATCTACACTCTCAAGCCAAACAATGCAAAGCATTCCTGTTGTTCCACCTTATCCTGGAGATGAAGTCTCTATACCAATGCCCCGTCCAAATGATCCTGATCTTTTGAATGTGGATAATTTTCCACCACCTCCGCCACCACCAAAGACAAATGCTGCATTGGTGGCTCTACAAAAAGGGGGAGATTTGGAAAGAAGAGCTTCAAGACGTTATTCTGCTTATCAAATCTCAAAACTTGTTGGTGCATCTCCAAATGGAGTTCCAATGATGCCTGTTCCACAAAACTCGCCAATACCAAATAGAGGACGCAACGATGCCAGGGAGTCTCTGAGAGCTGTTCAAAATCGGGACCAACGTCTCGGCCGAACAAATTCTCGTCTGATTCAGAATGAGACATCCCCAGTTCGAAAGCCAAGTGTGATTGCCGAAGTTAGTCAAGAGTCATCAGTTCAACAGCCAGAAGAACCACCCTCGAATGATAGTCCTATAGTCAAGACCCCAGAAGACAAGTTAAGACAGTCTATTGATGATTATGATGGACCGAGTGCAACTCTCAATGGACCACCTCCTGATGTTCTTCCAAACTTTGATAATCAAGACCAAGATGAAGAAAAGGCTACTTCTGAACCTCCTCAAGCCCCCCAACACAAGCGATCTCCTTCCAAAAGAGATAGTCCTTCTTATGGCAGCCAAGCTAGACAATTCACACCCGAAGAATCTCCACCTCCACCCGATAAAGAGATCACAATTTTCTTACAATATAAGACCAAGGTTAAGAAGTTTGTCCTTGCTGATGGCTACAAGGATTTATCCATGGCAAGACTGCAATTGGCTTTCATTGAAAAGTTTGCCTGGAATACCCACAACAATGGTGTTGATCTACCCGAGATTTATATTCAAGATCCAGTATCTGGTGTTCGTCACGAGTTGGAAGATCTTCAAGATATTAAAGATCGTTCCGTACTTGTACTAAATGTTGAAGTTCTAGATGAGGTGAAGCGACATATTGATGATAGTCTAGGAGGATTGAAGAAAATGGTCGAGAGTGTCAAGACGGCAGTAGATGATCAACAAGTTACAATTCAAAGAGTCTCGGATCGCCAACAGGATGCTGCAAAGGAAATGGCCCGAATCGCATCTGCGCCACCAAGTTCTTCAAGAATTTCAATGATTGACACTGGACGTATCACCAATGGCATTAATACCAGCCCATCAAAAGCCAATGGTCAAGCGCAACTTAGTGAAATTCAAAGCCTTCGTCGCGATCTTGCAGTACTCAGGCAAACTTACTCTGGCTTCCAATCTGATATTCAAAGTTCCATGGCTTTGATTCGCACAAAGGCTAGCTCCGTCAAAAGTGTTGCTGTTAAAGCTGTTATTCCGGATATCAATGGTGATTCTGGACGCTCTTATGTCAATGGTGGAAAGAAGAATCTCAGCGAAGATTCCGATAAATTGGTTGCACAAGTGGATGATCTTCAAGATATTGTTGAAGATCTACGAAAGGATGTTGTACAACGTGGTGTGCGACCTCTTCCCAAGCAATTGGAGACGGTTGCCAAGGATATTTCTCAAGCTACAATGGAGTTGAAGAGGATGCAAGACTTCTTGAAACGTGAGAGACCAATCTGGACAAAGATCTGGGAGAAGGAATTGGAAACAGTGTGCAATGATCGTGAAGAGATTACAATGCAAGAAGACCTTGCAGCAGATCTCCAAGATGATTTGGAGAAGGCCGCACAAACCTTTGCACTCGTTGAGCAAGCTACTAAAGAACAATTGAAGGACGGATCCCCAAGTCACATCGGTACCGGTCGAAGTCTTTCCAAACTTAACCGTATTGATCCGATTGATCCTGCCGCGGCAAAAGAAGGCGTTCTTGATGAAGTTCGTGCGTTGCAACCAAATCACGAGAATCGTCTTGAAGCTATTGAGCGTGCCGAAAAACTTCGACAAAAGGAACTTGAAGGTCGCCGAGGCAATGTTCTGCAGAAAGAATTGACCTCTTTTGTGGAATCAGGAAAGTTGAAGAAGTCTGGAGGCTTCGAGGAAGTCGAAAGGCAAAGAGTTGCAAAAGATGAACGAATCAGAAGAGAAGTTTGGGAACGTCAAAATGGAATGACGCAAGCAGATGCAGATTTTGAGGAAGTTAATGATCCGGCTGTGGAAGAGGTAGCAGAGGCAGATGAAATGGTCGAGGAGAATGTAGACGAACATTCTGATTTGGAGACATGAAAAGATATGATATCACGATGGGGAATGGGAGTTGCATTTCCGAAGCATGATGACCATTTTTGAAGAATTTTCAGAGTCATGTCTTGAAGGAGCGATACAGGAAATGTAATGTTGGACTTTGGTTTCAACACTTACACGATTTTACCATGTTGATTTGACATGGAAGGCGCATATGGTGTTTGTTATTATACTCAAGCAAGGAGTTATTGGGAATTGGGCATGTTTGTTTCATTGGTGCGGTCGCATGGTTATTGACGTGAGCGTTTCTTGTGGTTTTCGCGTGGCGATGAAAGCGTGCCATGTCGATATATGGAAGATTCCATGGCGTGTTGTTATAGGGGCGTTGTTTAAACTTGGCATCTAATTTGAGGCCTGAGAGGGAGGTTGATGGACTGGCTTTACATGATTGTGGATGATATGTGAATGAGAGTGTATGAATGGAGAAGGAAGTGGAAAGACATTGGAAAGGAAATAATGGGAAATACAGTGGCATGATACCAAGGCAATACAAGGAATGGTAGATAGTATGTGTATTGTAGTGTAGCCCTATACCAGGTATGAAGTACCAAGTCATCAATGTAGATGAGAGAAATAGAATATGGTCAAATGATTTGGATTGATGGTTGGGTGTTATTGTGATGGGATGTGATAGGATGCTATGAAATCGTATCATATACTCCTGCTCCTCATCCTGTCTTCATTTCGGGTGACTCTGGATCTATACTACTTTACTCTACTCTAATCCGTTGTTTTGATGTAGGTATTATTCATAATCTCCATATCATAGTACATCATAGCATAACATACCATACCATACCACAGAATCCATAAATAAGTAGTTGTTCAGTTTGAGCTTAAGCTTGAGCTCAAGCTCCAGTTTGGTGTCTGGGTGAGGCAGGTGGTTGTGGTGTGGTGTGGTGTGGTATATGATATATTGTTTATATTGTTTATATTGGGATCGGGAATGGGGAATCGGGAATCGGGAATAGGGATTGGGATCGGGATTGGGATCTTGAACTAGTGATTTTTTTGGCGAGGGGGGAGGGGGGAAGGGAGGAGAGAAGGGGGGGGGAGGGGAGGAGAGGAGAAGGGTAACGAGAGAAATTGAGTAGGTGAGTAGATAGGTAGGTTTTTTTTTTTCTTTTTGTATATCGACTGGTTCTTGTTTGGGGTTGCGGTTAGCTTTGAATTTTGAGAGTTGGAGTTGGAGTTGGAGTTGGAGTTGGAGTTGGAGTTGGAGTTGGAGTTGGACTTTATATTTCGTAAGATGTTTTCTTTGGGGGTGGAAGAAGAGAGGAGATAGGGGGAGCGGAGGGGTGGGGGTGGGAGGGGGGTTAGGAGTAGTGAGTGAGTGAAATTGAGTAGGTGATTGGATTGATAGATTGATAGATAGGTAGGTTGGTAGGTAGGTAGATATTATTATTATTTTTCGTTTTTTGTCCTTCTTTCTTTCTTTCTCTTTCTATTAATTCTAATTCTGATTCTTATCTTGGTTTTCGTTTTCGTTTTGGTTTTGATTTTGGTTTTGATTTCTGGTTTTGAAGGATTGGAGGATTGGAGGTGAGATGTGATTAGAATTGGAATTGGAATTGGAATTGGAATTCGAGTTGAAATTGAATCAGTATTTTGAAAGAAAGAGGTAGTGAAGAAGAGAGGGGAGAGAGGGGCAGCGGAGGGGTAGCGAGCGAGTGAGCAAGTAAGGAAGGCAGTTTTAGACTATTATTATGGGTTGTGTGTGTGTGTGTATGTTCAAGTATAGATATAATTGGATTTTCTTTTTCCTTTTTGATTCTTGTTTTTAGATGTGAGTTTGATTAGATTTGGTATTCGATTAGATTTTGATCAGATGTGTTTTGGTTTTGGTGTTTTGGGGGCGAGGGGGAGGGGGAAGAGAGAGATTGGATTAGATTATTAGATGCTTAAGGTTTTAGTGCACATGTTATTTGTGAGAGAAAAATAATAGAATAGAATAGAATGAAAAAAAACTTTCATCCTGTATTCTTTTTTTTTCTTTTTTTTCTTCTAGGATGGAGATTTTACATGGGAAGCGGCAGCGGCAGCTGGAGCTATTCTTGTTGTCGTTGTTTGTCAAAGGGAGAGAGGAATGGAATGGAATGCCGATGGTAACCGTAGGTAAGCGCGGATCTTTGGGTTTGGGTTTGGGTTTGAATCGGAGTTTGGATTGTGAAAATGGGTGGGAGTGGGAGTGGTAGGGAAGATGAGGGAGCAAGCGCTTGCTAGGTGGGTTTGGATTGAATTTTGAGGGAGGGGCAGGTAGGTGTATTGGGAGGGCGAGAATGGGATGGCAGGCTTGAGATTGAAGGTGTTAGGTAGGTACCTAGATATGTTATAGTATTTGCAGTATTCTATACTGGATATAAAAGATACTTTGAAGATATTGCTAGGTACTAGATAGATACATTGAGTTTGAGGGTATGGGTATTAGATATCGACGAGAAATTTTAGCATGGGGATTGCAACGCCACTTATGTCATTTCCATTTTTCCTTTTCCCTTTTGACGCATTTCGGCATTTTGATATTTTGGTACGGAGTATGTACAAAGCGAGTCTGAGAGTGATGACAGAGTACTGTACTCGGACTTCGATTTTGATGCGTGGGTGAACAGGGGTTCTTGCATAACTTTTTGAAAATACGGAGGTCCCGCTACATGGGGGGCTTGGAGGTTTGGAGTTTATTGCGGTGTGTTTATTTATTTGTTAGTGATCGGCTCATGGGTTTAGGCGGGTGGTGGGAAAACTTGGGTGGGTGTAGATGCCGATAGCCGACTGGGCGGAAGATGATGGATTGTACGATGGAGGCTCGTAGGGTGGAGGTAACGGTAAGGACGTAAGCTGAGGTAGGGGCTGGGGCTGAGTTTGAGATTTTGTCTTTTTCTGTTTGTGTGTTTGGTACCTGACTTGGAGTCGGAGCGGACAATGTAGGTTGCGGACCGGTGTTAAGCTCTATGGGCGTGTGTTAGGCGTATGTTAGGGGTAAGATGTGATGGTGATGTGTGAGTTCGGTGAGAGGAGATGTACATAGAAGGCTTACTAGATGAGATCGAAAAGAAGGAAGGATGAATGAGAAATGGTATGATTATGCGTGAAGATTGGATGTTGATGATGAGAGATTCAAGGTTGAATGAGAATTGTATATAGAGATTGCGAGTATCAACTTGTGTAGGTTTCATCTGTCTATTAGCTGATGTACGATGTATAATATCTAATATCTAAAATCTTCCATTCTAAGAGGGCCAACGCGATAGCAATGGCGATCAATCTAGTAATACATTATGCTAGATACATAAACGGATTTTGTAAGCACACTGCAGAAGAACATTCATGGGTATTGTTAAACATGCTGTCAATGATACATACATACAATACATACAGTAGCTTAGCTTCGTACGCACGAAATTTGGCGAGGTGACCAATAGGGGATTAAAATCGAAATGGATTTAAGGGTTTGTTAGTCTAGCTACAGATTGAATAGTACGATTAGCTGGAGCGTCTAGATGACTGTCAAATTGTCATATTATCGATTTGATGTCAAATTTGACAGGTACTTACTATAATCTCATGCCGTATGAGTGGATCTACCATTCAACGGCATAAAATTAAGATCGGTATCACTCTCCCAATTTGCCCGACTATGGAGTTCGTCCATGGTCGGTTTACGGAGTATGGAGATGGAGTTTAGAACTTTACCTAGGTAAATCGGGGCGGGAACTTTTTGGGAGAGAAGGTTCTACTAATCTTCTTTTTCCCCTTACCAAGCTCAGCTAAGATGGATATCTTGTCATATAACAGGTTTTTATGCTTCGGCAGTGAAGATTTTATGTTCCGTGTAAAAAGTTTTTTTAGATTTGAGTAAATAGAATAAATATCTTATGATCCCTTCGATTTTTTTTTAATTTTGAGGTTTCATTTCTTCATTCATCATACATAAGGTACAATTAATTAAATCGTCATCATCATTGTCATTGTCAAAGAACAAGGTCTAGACGAGTTTGAGTCTGATAAGCTTATCTCTCCATACCTAAACATCGATAATTACTCGGACGAGTATAAACACAACTACAATCATCAATTGAGAACAACCACAACATTACAATCACAGCCATGAATGAGGCAGATCGAGAAATAGCACGCGCCGAGCGTGATGCCTCTCCAGAACGGTACTCCGTCGAATCTCCCATCCATTCCCCTCTACCCCGCCATCCCTCCCACGAAATAGAACGTATACCCACTGCATCCTCCATTTCGACGACTTCTTCCGATGCCTCAATTCGTCCTACAGTTTCTCGAGCTCCCACACAAGCTGATTTAGAACGTCATCCAACTGTTATATCTCGCATTCAAACTGCGCGCTCGCAGCATACGGGGACGGTGGGAAGAACTGCGACGGGAAGGAGTAGTAGACTTACCAGGATATTCAGTACAAAGGAGAAACCATTACCGTTGATGGGGCTGGGGAAGGAGTATCCTCCTCTGTTGCCTGCTCAAGAAGAATATGTGGTAGAATTTGATGGACCAGATGATCCGCTGCATGCTGTCAATTGGCCGATGAAGAAGAAGTAAGCTTTCAACAGTTTTCCTAACACTACACTTGAAGTGAAGCTAATCGATCGAAATAGGCTTGTTACAGCAGTAATGTTGGCTTATACAACATTAGTATCATCATTTACATCGAGTATTTTCTCAACAGCAACCAGAGTTGTAGCAGCGGAATACAATGTTTCCACAGAAGTGGGATTATTAGGACTCTCGTTCTATGTGTTAGGATTCGCTTTTGGTCCAATATTATGGGCTCCTTTATCGGAATTGAAGGGGAGAAGATTACCAATTGTGCTTTCTATGTTTGGATTTTCGATCTTTCAGATTGCAGTCGCGGCGGCGAAAGATTTACAAACAGTTTTGATCTGTAGATTTTGGGGAGGTATGTATACCATTATTTTCTCGCTTCGAGATTTGGCGTAGGCAAACGCTAACTTATTGGATGAATAGGTATGTTTGGTGCAGCTCCTTTAGCAGTTGTTGCAGCTGTTTTCTCGGATATGTTCGATAACAAACGAGAGGGCTTGCTATTACCGTATTTTCGATGACAGTTTTCACTGGACCTCTTCTAGCACCTTTCATTGGTGGATTTATCGTTGAATCTCATCTCGGCTGGCGTTGGACTGAATGGTTAACTGCTATAATGGGTTTTGTAGCATTCATCCTAGATCTCTTCTTCCTTTCAGAAACCTACCCACCAGTCATCCTGATCGAAAAAGCAGCCGAACTCAGAAGAAGAACCAAAAATTGGGGTATTCACGCCAAACAAGAAGAAATCGAGATTGATTTCCGTGAATTGGTCACCAAGAATTTCTCTCGTCCTCTTCGACTTTTGGCATCAGAACCTATCGTTCTTCTTCTATCTATTTACATGGCTTTCATCTACGGTCTTCTATACCTCTTCCTCACAGCCTATCCAATCGTCTTCCAACAAATCCACGGTTTCACTGGTGGCGTAGGTGGTCTTCCATATTTCGGTATGGTCATTGGAATGTTAATCGCAGGTGTCTACGTCGTTCTTACTCAACCATCTTACAATCGTAAATTAGCAGCAAACAACGGTATTCCAGTTCCTGAATGGCGTCTTCCACCGGTGATTATTGGAGGAGTGAGTTTCGCAGCAGGACTCTTTTGGTTCGGTTGGTCGGGGTACAGAGCCGATATTCATTGGATTGTTCCCACGCTTTCGGGTCTCCTTACAGGATTTGGACTTTTGGCAATCTTTTTGCAGAGTTTAAATTATCTTGTGGATGCATATCTTATGTTTGCTGCATCGGCTATTGCGGCGAATACATTGTTGAGATCGTTGGCAGGAGCAGGATTCCCGTTGTTTTCACAATATATGTTTGCGGCAATGGGAGTCAATTGGGCAGGAACATTGTTGGGCTGTGTAGCACTTGTGTTGGTGCCAATTCCAGTTTGCTTCTATATGTATGGAGAGAAACTTAGGGCGAAGAGTAAGTTTGCGCCGGTTTATCCAACGCAGCAGGCTCCGAGGGATGAGGAGGAAGGAGGGAGTACGAGTACGAACGGGAATGGAGAGATGGATAGAGATGTTAATGGAAAGGAGAAGGGAGAGGAGGCTAGAGCTTAATTTGAAGAGAGGGGCGGGGTGTAGGTGAATGGATTATGATTTCATGAAGAGATGGAAGATGGAAGATAAAGATACCAATAGTTTTTAATGCCATGAGATAATTGCATGGGATGGGATGAAGAGAAAAGTCAATATTCACAGTGGATAAAAGGATCGAATGGGAAAGGAAAAGGAAATAAGCGATATCCAGGAGTTTGAGGGTTAAGCGATGAATAGATTAATAATACTATATGACCTCTTTGAAAGAAAGTGGGGGGACATGGTGTTTGTATATATTACTTGTGTAGAGTTGGAGGGGTTAGATAGCGTAGGGTTGTGGTAGTTAGTAGTGTTAATGATAGTATTAATGAGTATCAAGTAATGATGGGGTTTTAACATTGTGTTTATGAGTCTTGGGTTGTGTTGTGTTGGGCGATGTTGTATTTGGTTGAGGTAGAGGCTGGGATTGAGGTTGAGGTATGAGTAGAGGTTGAAGATGGTGTTGAAGTAGATGGATGTTGAGGGTGAGAATGTGAGAATTATGATTTATGATTTATGATTTATGGGGATTGTGCTTGTGAGTGGGGATGGGAGTGAGTGTGGTAAGAATGAGAATAAGATTGAGTGTGATGGTGATGGTGATTTCAAGTAAGAGTATATATATCTATATTGAGATTGAGATTAATATAATAAGATAATAGGTAGATGTATTATATTATGTGTTACAGATATGAGTGGGAAGATGTGAGTAAGAAAGGAGGTTCAAGAAGGAAAGGTGATTTGAGGAGGAAGGACAAGGAAGGAACAAGGAGGATGGTCTGAGCAGATTTCTAAATATGCTATTTCATGAGTGAGGTATCTTTGAATTTTGAATGTCTGATTTGAGGGAGCGGGCTTTGTGGTTGAGTGGTAAGTAATTTATCAGGGGTTAAGATTTGAAAGATTGAGAGTTGGAGGGTTTGAGAATCGAGATCGAGGGCTAGAGGAAGGATGAGAGAGGGGAGGGTGATGTGTGTGATTTGATATGATATGGTATGGTATAACGATATGAAAGGATTTTCAAATCTTCAAAATCTTCAAATTGAGAATGGAAGATTAAGGATTAAAGACGCGGGTGGAATGAGATGAGATGAGATTATTGAAGAGGGAAGGAAAGAAGAAGAGGAGGGAGAGTGAGAGTGTATATGTATATGTATATATATTGTATATATATGTGTAGGCGAGAGTTTATTGTATTAGACTGTTACATGTGTGAATACTTATTGATGGAAGAGTGGAGGTAAGAGGGTAGAAGGTATATGAATTATGAAGTGAGTAGAATGTGGTTTGTATTGTATAGGTGGATGGAAAGATAGAGATGAGATGGGACGGGGGAACTAAATGGATGGATGGATGGATGAGTGAATGAATATAACTAAGTATATCCATATCGAAAGTTGAAAGTCGCTTAAGATTATTAGATATACAGTATACAATAGATATCAAGTATTGGGAGATTCACATGAGAATAGATTGTAGAGATCTCAATCTCAATCCCAAATTCGAATCAGATGTGATTCGATGTAAAGAGTTCCGTATATGAACCTATAGGATAATATATTCATTACAAATCTGTAATTTTCTATTCAAATTTCAACTCACAAGTATATAAATTTTGAAGTTTTGAATGAAGGTTTGAAGTTTTGATCTGTGTGTAGATGGATAGATACTATTTGGAGATGTGGAAGCTCCTGAGTGGTTTGGAGTTCGAAGGGATCTTGAGATTGTGTGTGGTATTTAGCAGTCCATGAGAGAGGATTTCAAGAGGGGGGATGCTTTGGAGCTGGGTGGAAATTGGGTTTCGGGTTTTTTGAAATGCGCTAGGGAGGAGGAGATGTGGAAGGGAGATGAGGGACAGGGAGAATTCTGATGGGTATGAATTTTGAAAGGATGCTGGATTTATTACTTGTGTGTATTTTATACAAGTAGTGTAATTGAGTAATAGATGAGTAGCTTTTTTTTCTGGTAGAGTTGATTTGAGTAACTTAATTCGAGGTTGTAACGTGAGAAGATAGTTAGTTACAAGATATATTATGTGTGTGAATGTAAAGGGATATAGAAGAAACAATATCTATCTATATAGTATACTCTATACAGATAGCTGAATACTAACACTTGAAAGATGTTTTTGATTAGCATAATCTATACTATTAATTCTTGATCCCGAATAGATAATTTGAGGAAGGATACTGACTTAGAAGTTTTTCAGAATTATCTAGATAGATCTTTTACTTCTGGAAGGTTATATCAATTCCTTAGAGATGTATATAAGTACTAGAAGATAAGAAATTGATGTGAGGAGATATGTCTGTCTGCTTAGTTGTATATTTGTTCCTGAAAAAGAAACGAGGAGAATAGGATTAGAAGTCAATTTTACGGAGCTAGTTGATTTGAGATTCTCTTAGGGATACTAGTATTAGAGCTGAACTTGAATGAATAGTGAGATAGTAGAACCGTAGATTCATAACAATGTAGTAAAGAATAAGATATATAATATCTCTCAATTATATCTTAATAAAACATCTTGTCAGAGCTATTTATCACTAACCAGATAACCCCACTCTATTCAATATCATCAAAGTATATTTTTGATCAGGCATTGAGCAAGAGACGATTGCAAACTTCTTTTTTCAATCAGGATACTATTCTATCTTACCTTTTATTTTATTTCATTTTACGTTCTACTTACTCCTCTCGTCTCTACCTACGAATTCAAATTCTAAGTACTTCTGGAAGACTGGAATGATTGGAAATGAGAATGAAAATGAGAATGATAGAAATATTATATATCCTTTATTGATTTTCTCTTCATTCTAGTTTCAATTCTCCGCTGTTCGGATTGTGATGATGCTGAAAAGGACGGGTGAGAGGTGAGAATAGCGTGAGGTTTCTGAGGAGAGTAGAAACCGTGATTATGATGATGATAAGGGAGTCGTTACTTTGGCAAGAACACATAAGATAATCTTGAAGAAAGGATAATTGGAATGATATTAAGTGGAAGGGAAGTGATTGAGTTTGGGATTAATGGTGATGGAATGACATGAAAATGTACGCGATGTTGTACGAGAACAAAATCTACTGACAGTAGGCATGATTTGGATATTTGAAGACGAAAACTAAACTCCAACTTACCACATATTCACAATACGAAACACGACAAATAACAAGATTTCATTGCAGCAAGAAAGCCATAATATTTATGCACATAAAGCAGTGTAAGCTTCGAATAGCTATATACAATTGAAAATACCACATCAGAAGATAACCAGATCCCCCACTCCCCATCCCCAATTCCTACTTTCATGAGTTATACTGATACCCCATTTAAGAAAGGTAAGAGGTATCAACCCAGCTGGAGTAGGAGCTTCCCAAAACACCAGAGATGGTGTAGGCAGTAGTGTACTCCTTTGAAAAGCTAGCACGAGTACCTGAAGCACCGGTACCAGAGTTATCATACTCCTCGAAGAGAACATCATCAGTTCTTGGATCGCTGGTAGACCATTGGGACCATCCAGCTTTTTCAATGATGCTGCCGAGGGAAGTTTCTTGATAAGCAACACGAGCATACTCAGTCCATGGGCGACCGAGATAAACAGTTCCCGAGCCAGCAGTCGAGGAGGAACTGGTAGTAACAGTGCACTTGTTGATAACGTAGAGAGATGGGTCAGAGGAAGTTGCGCGTCCGTTAGCAGTGATGCATCCACCACCAGCAGAAGCAGCAATGGTGGAACCATCAAACCAAGCAACGGAGTGTTGACCGAAGATCCAATCAACGGCACCCTCAATGTAGCACTTGGCGTAAACTTGGTTACCGGTTTGGGTCAAGAGAGTATCTTGGTATCCGTAAAGACCAACACCGTAGTATCCTTGTTCGGTGTTGTAGGCGGCCAAAGCAATGGCTTGCGAACCCTTTCCATAGGTGTTCTTGATGTTGATGTTGTAGAAAGAGGTGTTCTCCGACAAGTTAATGACGGTTCCGGTTTCTTCATCACTGGCAGCTCCACTCAAGAGGGAAGAGCTGTGTACGATGTTGACAACATTGTCTGTGTAGCTGGAAGTGTCCTTGGTGTATCCGTAGACGGTGAGCTTTCCCTTCAAGGCAGGAATGGTAACTTGTTCCGAGTAAGTTCCGGAGTAGAGGAAAATGACTTGGGCGGAGGTTGTGGTCTTGCTAAGAGCATTGACGGCTTTTTGGAACTATTTGCTTGGTTAGTAAAAGCGGATTCTTGTGGATACATTCTAAGCAACATACGGTAGAGTAGGTTCCTCCGGATCCAGCCGTGATGGCACCCGATGGGGTGTTGTACGAGCAGTGGCCAGCACAGCAGCAATGAAAGAACTGAGGGTAAGAAGAACACGCATCTTGGCAATTAATCTTAGAATGAAGATACGGATGAATGATTGAATAAAGTGGGTTGGAATGGATCGAATTTCGACGGCCAAGCCAGACTATTTAACATAGGGCAATCATAACACGCGTGCGTAAGCATTTGAGAAAGGAAACACTTCGTGGAAGAATCCAAATTAAACGCCGAGGGTAGAGAAACATGGAAAATTCCCGATAGACGACTTTTGAACAGGATTCTGTGAATAATGTTTCGCCCATAGATGTCAGGAGTTACTAACCCCACACTTGCATGCATAATACCCTGACGCTACCCTGCACCTATGAGATGGGGTCGCTCAATGAGGCCTGGATAACCGCTTTTATACAGGGCTTCTCGCCAGATTTACATTAATATGCTCAGCCAGAAAGCTTGTACTTATTCCATCCATACACAACAAGCAGAAGGGAGCTCATGTTGATGAAATACTTTTTGACCATAAAACATGACGTTAGCAAATCTAGTCAATTCGTCACATCTGGTTTACTTGTCAAGTTATTTCTGGATATATTTTTATCAGATAAACACAAAAAATGGTTCAAGTAAAGTTCTTCTGCTTGGCAGCTTGATCATCTGATCTACGAAACAAGCCATCCT